ATGACCACAATTGTCCTCTATAAAATATACAAGTACGGCAATGGCTACGACTGTAAGTTAATTTTTTCAATAAAATTTGTTATTTTTTTGAAAAGAGACGTGCTGCCAGTGAGGGACAGATGATGATCGCTTCCCGGTGAGTGGCACGTGTTTTCACGTAAAAAACACTTTTTTTTGTGCGAGGCAATCGGTCGAATCGTAGTTTGGGTATATTCAATTCCCAGTGACGTTGCATCACTCCTAAATAACACCTGCACACAGTACTTGGATAGCACTCAGCAGTTTCTTACCACATAACCGGGCTCAGCTTTTTTTGCTAAACAGATTGCAGCATACAGGTTGACCCTGGATGAGTGCAGATGGCAAGGTGTGGAGGAGTTTGAAACCTAACGAGCCTTCGAATAATTCATAATTAGCTTCCCATGTACCAAAGTGTACTGCCTCAGTATTATTGTTTACGTCACTTCAACATTACGGCAACGTTGAATCGTTGCTCCTTGGCACTCGCTGTGCCCAGTTGCGTGGGTCATTGGATTTTAATTCACATTATTTATGCGGCAAATGTGATATTCCATGCTTTTACCTCCATACACCCAACCATGTTTTGATTTCTAGTTCAGTTTACACTTAAACTTTTTACTGCCGCCATCTTTACGAGACTTGTGGCTTAATCAGTTTTTTTAGACATGCCTTACTACCGGAAATATTATGACGTGGTTCGTGCAGAAGATCCAATTGTGTTGGATTGGCGACCGCCTGAAGTACTTTTCAGTTCTTATCAGCAGCGACAAATTCAAAAAAAAAGCAAACTTGGACTTGAAACATGATTTGCTGAAAGAGATTCCCATTAAGAGTAAATTTCAGTAGCTCTTAACATGGTTTATTTATTTGTTTTTTTTTTCTAGGATTATCCGGCACCGTTTGAAACAAATCGAGCAAATCGTTGGCCTACATCGTACAAAAAAGATTATGGAGTGGGTTGGAGGAAATGGAAAGACTGACTGATATGATATTTACCTCGAACTTGTTCCATATATTATGTAGGTATATATGTGAGGATGAAAGTCCGCAAGCGATCATACGAAGTTAGCGATAGTGGCAAGAT